GTCGATCGAAATTCTGTTAAACCTTTACGAATTCTCGTTCGTTTGCCCAACATATCTAATTATCCTTTCACACGAAATTAATTGAAAAAAGCATCATGGGAACATCCTGAAGTTTCATGTGTATAAATAAACCAATCAATGGCGAAACTAGCCAATTAGTAACAACCTTTTCTTGCTGGGAACTTTCGTTTTCCCTCTTAACCCCAAACTTTAATCCCATTTTCTTGTTCATGATTTTTAAACATCCCGCTTAAATCTCGTTAAAATTGTTTCCCCCATCATGGGTGATACTTTGGACGAGCGTTCCCTTCATCAGCACGGAAATTTAACTGTAAAAGGTTTTGGAAAAACTAACTTGGCGTGTGGCGATGAGGCGTCCAATAAACTAGAGTTGACACTGGATGGTAAAATGTTCAGTTGCGATGCACCATCAGCAACTCATCGTCCATCGATGTTGACAGTTCCAAGAACTACTGAAGATCTTCCCCATGAAGGAGCCAGCTCATTTGCACTGGTACAGCATTCGGGTAATGACGCATCGTCTCCGGTTTTCTCATGAAGTGACTTGATTTTTGACGCCATTATTAGTTGAAGATACGAAGGATGAGATCCCGGAAAACGTGACTTCTGAGGAGTGCGCGGAATCGTCGCTACAGTCAAACAAAGAGATTAGCGGGAACTTGACAGATCAGTTCCCTGCAGAAAACTCGACCCCCAGCAATGACGCAGAAATTCTACCAATTTGTGTTCCGGACAACACACAGTCAACTGACGTACGATCGTCTCAGGATACCGCGGAAACCAAGCAAGGTTCAGAAAGCGAAGGTCAAATTCGGCAAGTTAGCGACTCCAAGAAGCATTTGGCTTCGTCTGAGGATTCCTCGATGGGGAAACATGTCGTAGAAAATATCCTCGAAGTTCCGATTCAAGTCTGTGAGTAACAATAGTCCCGACCACGATTTAAAATAAGCACTATAATCAATGGCAAAAAAAGGCGGCACTCATCGTGTTTTGCTTCAATTCGAGGAAGCTCATTTCTATTTTTATGA